CCTCTCGCAATCCTCTTCCAGTTCTGCCATCTCTTCCTAATGCAGAGCAGCTGCTGCTGAATCTGCATTATACAAGGGAACTTTAAAAGTTCATGGGAAATGGAATTAAAGATCAAGTTTACTTTGGTGCAAAAACATTGAAATCCATACCTACATTTTCATAGTAAACATTTTCCATGAATTTATTTATTTACTTATTAGTTTTTGCTATAAGAGCATGTGTGCTTTGTCAGAGAGAGAGAGAGAGAGAGAGAGAGAGAGAGAGAGAGAAATCATTCCTCAGAGGTGAAGGACATGCCACAATCCCTTCTCGTCTCTTATCCCCTTGGGATTTGAGGTTTGGGGGTACACACACATATACCTGGAGTAATTTTCAAATGACTGGGTCTGGGACTTGAACTGCTCAGTTGGGCATGTGGGATCCAGTCATCTTTAACTTCTGTGCATCTGCTGACCCCAATTTTCCATGAACTTTTTGAAGACCCTTAATACTAGTGCTTTGTCTTCGTAGTCTTGGCGGCGCTTTCTTTTCCAGATCTGAGAAATTTAGTCTCCTACCGAGACTGGTAAAACGGCAACATCAAACCCAGGGACTCTGTACTTGTGAGAGCCTCACGTGGCTGTCCAGCTCATTCACTTACACACGGCTATTGTTCAGAACGTGGGCTCTGAAGCCAGGAGCCTGGGTTTGAATGCCAACTCTGCCACCTCCTCACTGTGCAGCCTTGGGGACATTATTTAACCCTTCCGAGCCTCAGCTTGCCTGCCCAGCAATAATGAGAATATCTATTATACCAGAGAGCATCAGAAGAGACTGTGAATAGGAATGTTTAACAAGGTATCATGGAGCATGCTTAATAGGCCCTAGCTGAGTTATCATTGAGCACTCTGTGCCATGTTTATGTCACCTGGTACACCGAGGCACTTTCTTATTCATTCATTATCAAGAATGTACCAGAGGGACCAGCAGTTGCGTAATGGCTATGTCGCTGGACTCCCGTGTGGTCAACTGCGGTTCGTGTCCCAGACCCGGTGGCTTAAACTCATGCCGGGCACGTTTGCGTGCATGCCCAAGATC